CAAAACATTTCATCGTTTTGTAAAATAAAGTGTTTCACATCTGAGCTTCACATTGCTCTGCTCTAAATGTTGCCATTGCTCTGCTCTAAATGTTGCCGTTAGCCCATCAACATCACAAATAGGTCTTAGTGAGCATTCATTAATATGATTTACTGCAAGTTGGCTACTCTGCAGTTGGTTATTAAATTTTTTTTTAGTACTCTAAGTTTGGAATGTTGGTGGTGAAAGCAAATGAATTGTCCAGACATTATTAAATCCTTTATTTTCCTCCAAGGCTTTCCCTTTTTCGGATATGACTTCCATAGCTGGCCTTGTTAGAGAGACTCCAGGCCACTGCTAGGCAAGGCAAGGCAAGGCAATTTTATTTATATAGCACCATTCATACACAAGGCAATTCAATGTGCTTTACAAGGGAAATACGTTAAGATAAAACATTAAAGGAACAACAGATCATTAAAAACAAAAGCTAAAAGCAAGAAAAACAGTGCAGAAAATGCATTTAAAAAAAGCAAACATAAAGCAAAAGCAACAGCAGACAAATATAAAAACAATAGCTACAGATTATCCTAACAATAAGTTACATATCTAGTTCACTGGTAAGCTGCAGTAAATAGTAATGTTTTAAGCCCTGATTTAAATGAGCTGACGGTTTCAGCCGACCTCAGATATTCTGGAAGTTTGTTCCACAGGCAGGGAGCATAGAAACTAAAGGCTGCTTCACCTTGTTTGGTTTTGATCCTGGGAACACTGAGTAAACCTGTTCCAGATGATCTGAGGGGTCTGGATGCTTCATAACGTACAAGTATATCAGAGATGTATTTAGGCCCGAGACCATTTAGTGCTTTATAGACAAGTAACAAGATTTTAAAGTCTATCCTTTGACACACAGGAAGCCAGTGCAGTGATTTAAGCACTGGTGTAATGTGCTCCACTCTCTTGGTGTTGGTGAGGACTCTGGCAGCAGCGTTCTGGACGAGCTGCAGTTGTCTGATTGATTTTTTACTCAGGCCTGTAAAGACACCGTTACAATAGTCCAGCCTGCTGAAAATGAAAGCATGAACAAGTTTTTCTGTATCTGGTTTAGACAGAAATTCTTTTATTCTTGCTATGTTTTTAAGGTGGTAGTAGGCTGATTTAGTAATTGTCTTAATGTGATTATTGAAATTTAGGTCTGAGTCCAGAACTACACCAAGATTTCTGGCTTGATTTGTAGGTTTTAGTGTCATGGCGTCAAGGTGAGCACTGACTACTGATCTTTGTTCTTTGGGGCCAAAAACAACTATCTCAGTTTTTTCTGTGTTTAGTTGTAGAAAATTCTGGCACATCTACGTATTGATTTCGTCAATGCACTTATTTAGAAGATGTAGGGGACTGTAGTCATCTGGTGACACTGTTATGTAAAGTTGTGTGTCATCTGCATAAGTATGGTAGGAGATGTTATGATATTCCATAATCTGAGCAAGAGGGAGCATATAGATTGAACAGAAGAGGTCTAAGAATGGACCCTTGAGGAACTCCACATGTAATCTTTGTTCGCACAGATTCATAAATGCCAAGTGACACAAAGAAATCCCTGTCTTGTAAATAAGATTTAAACCAATTTAGCACAGTGCCAGAAAGTCCCACAAACTTTTCTAGTCTGTCAAGCAGTATCTTATGGTCAACTGTGTCGAATGCAGCACTGAGGTCCAGTAATACCAGAACCGAAATCTTTGATGCATCACTGCTCAGATGAATGTCATTTAAAACTTTTACAAGTGCAGTCTCAGTGCTGTGATGTGCTCGAAATCCAGACTGAAAGGCATCAAAGATATTGTTTTGCTCCAAGAAGGTGTTAAGTTGCTGAAAAACAACCTTTTCAATGATCTTTCCTAAAAATGGTAGGTTTGATATGGGCCTGTAGTTATTTATTACTGAGGCATCCAGATTAGGCTTTTTTAAGAGAGGTTTAATGACTGCAGTCTTCAGGGCCGTTGGAAAAAGGCCTGACTGAAGAGAATAGTTGACTATCTGTAGTATATCTGATGCTATGCAGTTAAAAACATCTTTAAAAAAGCTTGTAGGCAGAGTGTCAAGGCAGCAGGTAGTGGACCTAAGGTTTCTAACTATGTCTGTCAAAGTAGCATAATTTAATGGGTGAAAAAGTGCCAAATTAACTGGAGTAGTCTCATGAGGCACAGGTGAAATAGCCACTGTGTTGGAGTTACAGACTTTCTGTCTTATCTTTAAAATCTTGTCTGTGAAAAAAGAAGCAAAGTCATTGCATGCCTTGGTGGATAGCAGTTCAGGAGGGACTGACGCTGATGGGTTTGTCAGTCTGTCAACAACAGTAAATAAAGTCCGTGCATTGTTGTTTATTTTTAGATGTCATAATGAACCTGGAGTTTGGTTTTTCGCCACCTGCGTTCTGCTTTTCTACATTCTCTTTTTTGAACTTTTACCTGTGTGGTGTTCCTCCATGGTGGTTTTTTCTTACCAGAGACAACTTTGACCTTCATGGGGGCAATATTGTCCATAATATTCATAGCTTGCTACCGAAATTCAGCAAAACTTAGAGAACAAGGCACTAGGTCAAAGACCTATGAGGCACATTTTAGTTGATGAAATGTTAGGCTGCACATTTTTACAACTGTAGAATGCAATAATCACTCTAGGCCTGCAACAATGGCAAATGAAAATCTGAATGTAAAAAAAACAAACAACGTTATTCATATAAGCCAAAGGAGAGGGTCTAAAGAGCCAGAGGTTGTCTCCCCCTGACTTAGCGTCTCATAGGGTCTCTTCAACATCACTGCAGGGTTCAACAATAACGCTCATTGTCAGGATAATTTTTTTCTAGCAACCCAACTTAAAAAATAAAGCAACTTCCCCCAAAATTGAATGTGATCTCTTAATTTATTAGGGACTTCAATAATTTGTTTTATACTTCCTTTGAGTATAATCCACATCTTACATACACCTTATTTTAATCGTCAGATACCGGGGCAATCCCAGTCTGGCAGCAGCTGGTTTGACCATGAAGATGCGAGTGATGGTTAACTTGATGCAGAGACATCAGATGCTGCCACTGGGTGACCCTAGAAGCGTAGGAGGACAGATTTCAGCAAGCACAGCTGGCCGAGAATTTTTTTTTAGTCAAGCTATAATAAGCCGTCACTTGCCTCTCCGTTGTCAAACCAGGTTGGAGACAGACACTTGCAGAGCAAAGTGAAGTTTTGGGAAGTGGAAAAGACATCATGATGTCACTTGTAAAGCATCGTCTGGAAAATTATTCAGCTGTATTTGTCATGTTAAATGACTGGTATTTAAGATGATAGTATTCTTCATTGTAAGTAATCCTTACCCTGAGGAGTTCTGACCACTAGTAGCACTATAGAGCTTTTTTTTTAAGTGGTTCTCTGTTTTGTTTTATGTGAGCACAAACAGTAGTTTCACACTATTCAACTGATTGGCAGGTTGCATTAATTCACCAAATAAATGCAGGGAGGAAGACGACACAAATGCAAAGGATTGAATTACTTTTATAAATGAGCTTTGCAGATGTGTCATGAGGAGGGAAAGGACACACACTCTATATTTGGGTGAGTTAAAATATATCTTTCGTTTGTTTTCAATTCAATTCCATTGGGCACCTTTAACATTAAAGAAATAAACACAGCAAGCTCGAGCAGATGTATCAGAGGTGCTGGCTCAGCCTTCCTTGGCAGAGTTGTGTTAAGCCTCAAAACAGAACAAAACAAAGCATAGTGACACAAAAGAAGAGAAACATTGCTCTGCGCTTGATCATGGTGATTGTATGCGACACCAGTATCCTGATCCGCCTCTATGCTGCAGTGTGCTTGTTTCTCTGAGTGCTGCTCTGTAGCATCTCATGCAATAAAAATAAGTTTAAACTTAAAGACAGGTTTCTATGCTGCCCAAATGCTGTGTGTAACTAAACTATGTGCCGCCCCCACGTTTGTACAAATCCTGTCTTTAGCTTTAATCTTGTCCAGAAGGAAGAGCCTCACCAGCATACATGTTTCTCAAATTTACTTGAAAGTAGACAATATTCTGCTGCCACATCTGCCACAGCTGTCACAGCACCTTCTCCCAGGATAAAGCAGCCTTCTTGACAAGTCTATTAAGTATCTTCCTGTCAGCAGAGGAAACGCTGTTGCCCCAGCAGACCACTTTATGGAAGATGGATAATCATTTATGGATAATTGTTAACTACTGGGGTGTTTGTGTGACGATCCCTGTGATGTTCACCTCATGGCTGTGAGCCATTATAACGAGTATAACATGAGACTGACTGGTATGAACCAACACAGTCTGCAGAAATTTGTATTTTGGATGTGGCATATGCAATATTTGATATTAAAGGGTCGCCGGATGACACTCAGAGCATTAACATAGCATGTATGTGAACATATGGTGGAGTAATGGTGTCCTGAGCAGAGAATTAGCCTTCTCTGTGGTTTGTTTTGGTAAGTCGGTTCAGCCATGCCTGCATGTTATAGCATGTGTTTATCCCACTGGCTAGCTCATTGCCGTGGTGGTTCTTGCTTGTATCGGGACAGTCTCATAATAGGATCTGAATCACACATAGGGCCCCTTTAAAGACCAGAGTTTTCGTCCTTGACAAATCAGCCAATACAGCAGACAACACATTGGCCTGAAGCATCAAAATTACTTTGATAAGCTGAAAAGCCATACCAAAATTGTTATAATAAAAGGAGTAAACATAGAGCAGGTGACTGAAGTCAGCATTCAATCCAGGAAGATAATTGTCAATTATAAATGCACAGTGAATATTCACCCCAGTGTAAACCTCAAGCTGCCACAGGGGGCAACTAATTTCAAGCAATTTCACTGTGGGCTGAAATGAGTTGAACTAGAAAGTCTAAATAAAAACCAAGTAAAATGGTTTGGAAATTGCTGCTGCTGTCCCTTTCTCCTCTCTGTCTTTATCTGAAAATGCATGGACCTAAAAACCTCTGTGTCTGTTCCTGTTTCAGGTGGAAAGCAAGAGTCTCGAAGATGTCGGCAAGGATTTTTACAGTTCAAAAGGCCAAGCACGGAGAGAAGAGAAGAAGCCTGAAAGACGAGGTCCATTCACAGTATGTGACCTTCAGATAACAGAACCTGGAGACCAGACGAGTCCCACAGTGAAAGATGCCTCAACATGTTTCGGTCCAACGCAGCGGCGGAGGGAAGCTTTTGAGACTCATATTTAAAACATTTACCCTCAACCCTCTTTTGTTTTTTATTAAAACAATTATCTGCTAAGGCACAATCAGCACTAAACACCACTACACAGTTAAAGAAGCAATGACAAGTTAATTGCACCTTGCCTGAATTAGTGAATGAGTTTATAACCAAATGTGCAACAGTTAACAGCAGCTGACAACAAAGGTTCGATAAGCCTTACAGAAATAATAAAAATGGAAGCAACAGATAGTTCCCCATTCCCACAGTTACTGCTGCTGCGCCTGTCAAACTGTCCATTTTCTTGCGGCACTTTCACAGTTTGCAGTGATAAAAGGTGGCAGATTTACCACTTTAAATTCTTTGTGATTTTTTAAACTATGGGGGCTTTGTTTCAGACAGAAGACACTGCTTCAACATGTAGAGAAATCCAACGTTTGACAGCCCTGCTGTGCCTTACTGCTTCTAAACTATGTTTGGAAAGTTGTTTTTTGGGGGATGGGTTTAGTGAACAGGGAATTGGTGCAAAACATCAAACAGTGAAGAAAGAGAGTTTAGCTGTGCAGGATTTTCCTAAAGATAAAGCAAACAACTGAGCGAACATCAGGTTGTTTCAGTTGCTCTCAGTGAAGATGTCCTAACCAGCTCGTGTGTCAGTGATTAGGCTAAGTGACATTTTGCTTGTTTGAAAAACTTCTCAGCCTGGTACTACTTTGGCAAAACTTTGCACACCTGCTTACAGCCAGGCTGCACTGCCTGCTTGAGCAGTGCGTGACAAATACCTTGCCGAACTGCTGCAGCTTGCAGTATGCGATGTTCACACAGACAGGGTTGCTGCTGCAGTGCTGCCCAGTCTTGGTGGCTGAAAAATGAAGCCAATATGGAAGTGCCAAAAACTGCAGTTCTTTGAATGGCCACTTGAGGCTAGCTCCAGAAGCCAGTTAGTCCCTGTAGACCTCCGTGTTAAAATGCCCAACTTTACAGCAGGAATAAACATGTTTACAGCCAGATACAAAAAACAGTTTTGGTCTCTATAACTAATGATTCCCTTTATGACAACTGTACAGGGGATGGATTTTTATATAACTCATCTGTTTACATTTTATAAAGGCTTAAAGTTACGCATATTTAAGGGTAGGCCGCTTTGAGTGACAGGCCGGCTGATGATAATGTCCTCGGCTTCTCAGTCGCTCCTCCACAGCTTCACCCTCTCATCCAAATATGGTCACCTCTGACTACAGAGGTCCAAGATGGTGACTGTTGAAATGTGGAACTTGAGGCTTCAAATCAGGAGTCCACAAACCAATGGGTGACGTCACAGTAGCTACATCCATTATTTTTATAGTCCATGGATGCTAATGCAGAGCTGTCTGCTGTTATAAGTGTAGTGTATTATCATTTACTCTGAAGCTTTGGAACAGATGACCAGTAAGGGGCCCAGGGTCAAAAGCATATATGGTCAGGGTCAAGAAGATATTTATGGCCCAGGGTCAAGGTTTGGTGAAGTCCAACTAGGGTGACTCTCTGTTGTGTAACAGACAACAGCGAGTCTATATAATGGGGGTAATTTGGGGCTGTTTTTCAGAGCAGTTCACATTGGCTTCAAACCCTCTCCAAGCATTCTAGATGCTTGATAGATGCTGTACTTGTAATAAACCTTTTGTTTATGCAAGCAAGACGGTGTCATCGGAGTCTCCTTCATCATCTTCACATCATCGCTATTTAATAAACAACATAAGTACTATATTTCCACAATGAAAAACCAGTAGTCCACTCATCTATGGAGCTGTGCAGACACTTCATTGTCAACAACACAGTCCTGCAAATATCTCACAATAAAATGCTTTGTGTTCTGTGACAGAATCAATGTTGTCAGAAGGCTTTTTTGTTGAAACAGAAATACAGTGTTGAGTTAAAAATAAATGTGTGACAGATATAGACAATGAAGCTGTAGTGAAAAGTGGCACAATGTCAATATGATTATCAAAACACCATTTCACTACCAAAAATCTTGACCATGAAAAAGACAAATTTTGCACACACAGTGCCCAAAAAAAAAAAGCAAATATAGTGAGGTAAAACGCCAAGTGGACAAACTGGGCTTGGCTTTCACTTTCACCACTGATACCTCTTACAAACGGTTACTGAGGTCAGTTACCTGCATAGTTAACTCTTTAAAGTAAATTAAAATCTATTTTGAAGTAGAAAAGAAAAATGTAAAACGCTTAACGTGTCTCGCGCTGTTGGAATTCACAAACATCATGAAGGTCATTGTTATAAATCCTTAAAGGAAAGGCTGTAATGTAATAAAGGGCATCTCTATCTCACCCTATGTGCTGAGTTTTTTATCCTTCTGTTGCTGTATATATATTTCCATATCAATAAAAAAACTTTTTGGGTTAAAGACATGCACGTCTGTTTGATAAAAGGTATGGGGGGAAAAAAGAATTGGTTTGCAGGCATTTTATTCATGAGTAGGATCTTTCAAAGAGCGTGATCATTTGATTTCTCTCTTGGATGTTCTGACACATCTAGTGAATGACTGCCGACCTCTCCAGAGTGTGCTGTGCCTCTCGACCAATATCAGCTGGGTTTGGCTCCAGCCCCCTTGCGACCCTCTCAAAGATTACTAAACTAAACCTGATTAGAAATCCTCTAAAGAAAGCCCACTCAAGCTTTAAAGGGGCTCCTGGAGAAACAAGAGTTAAAAGGGTGCAGATAATTGATGTACACAGCCTCCTGTGGACCTCACAGTGATGCAGGTGTCCAACAGCAAATGTGTGCCCACAATCAAAGTGAATGTTGCAGTGTTATAAAAATATCTCAAGCGGTAGCTAACAACCTTGACCTTGGATTCATCAAGAGCTGTCATTTTGTTGTTGCACTTAAGCTTCATTTATCCGTCAGCCACATTCAAAACATGGTTAGTTTTCTGTTTTTAGTCCAGATTTGTTTTTTGGTGTTCTTCTGAGGGAAAATAATATGACATGATATGACCAACCCAATCATAAGAATAAATGCTGGCATTGTATGTTTCTAAAAAACCCCACAGATATTTAAAATATGAATAAGGCAGTTGCGCAGTTTTGTTGTTTTTTTTTCATATTACTCAATTATCTTAATTTTATTGTGAGGCTATTATCAGGTATATTGTTGCTTTTTATATGACAAAGATGACACATGTAACACCCAAGTTCACTTTCATATAACTACAGGTGAACTTCAATAACGAAGCCAACAGTCAGTGTGGGTCTTTATAACCTGAGGCATATACACAGTTCTTTCAACCCCGGGGGTTGCAGCAGGGGGGTTAGGAACAGACTGTTTTAGCTGCTCATTTTCAGCTTGGAGAGCTTTTAGTTGCTCACGTAAGACTCCCAGTTGCTCTTCAGTTTCAATCATTTTAATGGTATACCAAACAAACCCTTTAAAGTCTCAGTAACTGCAAGTTTGGTTGAGAAAAATGCCAATGATGTAAACCTCCTCCTGGTCCTGTGACTTGACTGCAGACAGGGAGCTGTACATCTCTCCAATCTTCTGTGCTGATTGCCGTTTACTACCCTGATCTAAATAAGCACTGATATGGCCAGATAAATAAATCACCTATCACAGACCGACTGCTTCAAATCCTGCCGATAACGCCAAGTGTAACACCTGATTTCACTTTCATATAACTACAGGTGAACTTTGATAACAAAGCCAACAGTCACTGTGGGTCAAAATCCCATAGCAGGTTTTTATTAAATTCAGGGTCCCTAACAGCAATATTATAAAAGCAATGAAAAGTCAGAGCATCTTGCTGCAGTTGGTGTGGCGCACCAATCCCTAGGCTGGTGCACTGAAATATACTATATGTGGATAAAAACTACACACAAAGTAAACACCCAAACTACCAGTCACACACCAAAATTATATCACCACAACTCAACAAGTGAACTCTCACTGCACCAGCTGCTCCTGTGACCGGACGCCAACATCAACCACAGCATTTAAAAAATAAAACCTTATGTTAATAAATTCAAATTACTAAAATACAGAAAAGACAGTTTATAATGACTAACATAAAATATAATATTAAATAAAATCAGCACTTTGCCTCCCCTCTGCCACTTCCCCTGGACTGTTAGCACCCAGGCAAGCAACAAATGTTTTCTAACTGTATGGTTTGCCTAAAATGAACAATGACAACAATATAGTACACGATGAGCAGCGCTAAAATCATCCTGCGTAGCTGTCCCTTCATTGTGACATTGGAAAGTGTCACATTTATCTTGCAAGTGTACTCTTCTTCAACGTTTGGTTTACTTCCTGGATTTTTCCCTCATGGAAAATCTGACCAATCAAGAGCAGATTTCTCACACAGGCATTTTATCTGGTCCACATGTAAATGCTGTTGTTAGAACACGAACCAACTGTAGGCAATTATGCAACTTTGTTACAAAATTAGTCCCTGATTCGGACCAAAGCAAGCGAACTCTAGGTTTGTCACGGTGCAGGCATTTGTAGCATAAGGTAAAAAGATGGTACCCCAATTAAAAAAAGAAAAAGAACATGAACAGAGCAGGTTAGGAAAAGATTATGTTTTTTTTTAAAACACTAAATGCTGCCAGTGTCTCGCTAAAAAAACACCCAGTTGGTCTGCAGCTTGGTAGCTGTCCCGTCTGAGTGTGAAGCCATCCACCACCCCCTCCACCTCCTGATGACAAAGTCAGCTCATATACATGTATCAGAATTACGTCACTTAAAGCCGCTACAAGGAACTTTTAACTGGATATGCAAAAGTTTCTCGTTTCTGCTGTTGTCTGTGTGTGACCTACAACAGCAAATGAGACCATCGGTGTGAAGATAAGCTATTTCTATATTGTGTATACCCATACCTTTAGGAAACTGAGTCCGGGTCCATCCCAGGTCACTTCCAGGACGAAGCGAATTATGGCACTCAGACGGCACGCTTCATCTTACCTAGCTGCTTACATTTAGTGACTCTTATAAATAGTCGCTATTCCTCCTCCTCGACCCAACGTCCACGGGGAGTTAAAATAGCAGCAATCATTGGGTAAAAGTTCTGTGAAAGCACTGGACTCACCAACAGTCAGCCACATCTCAGTCACACAGAGAAAATCCAATCCTCGGGAAGTCAGGAAATCCTTCAGGATAAACGTTTTGTTCGCTAGCGATCTAGCATTTACCAGCCCAATCCTGGCAGGAGCCGGCAGGTCCACAGCATTAGCTGTCTGGGGAGCCACACACAGGGGCCGCAGGGCTGGAACACCTCATCTGGGCCAACGACAGGTATCAGCCAGGCGTCGACTGGGTCCAGCGAGTGCCAAGAAAAAAAGAGGCGAGGCACCGCCCCATACTCAGTCCAAGAAGCCGTGGAAGTGCTCGCCAAACAGGCCTTCAGCCTTACCAGCTGACCGCTGCGTTTACCCCGGCGGCAGTGGCGCTTACGCCGGAGAGGTGGAGCTGGGGTGCGGCAGAGGTGAGCTGGGATCCCCGATAGGAGCGGGGGCAAAGTTTTCCCGTCTTGTTGTTTCATTCATCCCCAAAACAAACACATGCGCGAGCCAGGTAAGCGTCTTTACGACAATACGCGCTAGAGCTCATGGGAAATGTAGGCTTCATTCCGGCAAAACACTACCGCTTTTGTCCACAGGGTCGCCAAAATCAACTCAAAATGAAAGTTCCTTGTAGGGGCTTTAAATGTTATATGACATATAACATGTAATGCCAACATTTTCTTTTGGTGACTAAGCTGCTATGCTGTTAGGATCTCTTCGACAAGCAGCAGGATTCAGGATTCTTCACTGGTTGATTCGACAGGATTTGAGCTCTGAAGAACTGATGGATGAGTATATTTGATCACAGCTGGCTGGATTAGAGGCGGATCAACTCTGGTGTAGAATCTGAGGATAACTGACGTGTTTCAAGCTGTAAACCAGCACAAACTCCTCTTCTTCACCTCCTTCTATAAATGCTCCAGTCCTCCTCGTGGGTGTCCAGATCACAGGAGAGGATCTGTCAGTCAAGAACTTTCAGACTTCCCATAACAGTAATATTGGGATGACTGTACA